GCGGAAGACGGTGATGCAAAGTGGCCTGTCCAATGACAATGCAGATCAGCCATCGGAATGCATAGTGCGGACCCAACAGTAGGTCTGGTCATAAACTGTTGATTTCGGTAGGTGTTGACTTGGTTGAGGTGAGGCAGGAGGCCACGCTAGCCGTCCACTGTTAACTCCAGAGCCTGTACTCCGGCCGCCCTCGTGTCGAATGCTTGCTCAACACCAAGTTGTTGATTAGAGATGGCATTACCAACGAGCGGGGGTCAGGTAATAAATCTTCCGATCGACGTGAGAGGTTTGCTGGAACAATAGTCAGCCATACGAATGTAAATGCGGGGGCGGACGCGATAAAAAGCCACCTGTTGGGTAATGTGGGTAATGCGATTCTTATAGTAGACTCGTAGTACGATTGGGGCTTAGTATTCAGAGCAGGCGTCGAAAGGTTTGTTCAGCTGATACGCGCATGGAGTGGGTGTGTGGGGAGCGCGTCGGTAACCAGTCGCACTATAGGCAATGTTAGCACCCAGAGAGGAAGATTAAGGATAGATCAGCATGGGCGGGAATAACTCTTGTCAATGCCGAAAGTAGTTGATATATGTGAAAACAGGCGGCAGTGCAACCCTTGCCAGCCAAGAAGTCGTTCAACATGACTGCATAGCTAGATGCAGTCCTCATAGCTCCGAAATGACCGATAATCTGTAGCTTGAGATATGAAGGTTGGCTTTCGTGACTGCGGACTCTATGTCCATGGAGAGTACGAAGCTCGCTCTTGTCAGCTGAACACCTTCCCAATATGCATGGAAAGTATGAATGGGATAGAACTGACCATGAATTTGCTTCATCGAGGAGCAAGATCGCGAGGCTAGTCGATACGCCGTGTTGGAGTCAATAGGGTGGATGGGGGCTGGCAGTTCCGCCATTCAATTAGTTGGACCCCGACACAATCAGCAAGGGCTGAGCGAAGCCTGATGAATGATCGTGCGTCCTGGGAGAGCCATGTCAGATAGGGTGTGGATGGGCGACCTTGAAGCCATCGATATGCCCTTACAGCGGCTCTGGGCATTCCTTTGGGCTTAGCGTCACGCGCCATGTATTGCGTACACACTGGCTTACTGTCGGTGTATCGAAAGGCTCTATGAAGGATCAATGATCTGTCATTCGAATTGTTTGAGAAGTGCCATCACTCACCCACGTTCTATACCTTGAAGGTCCAAGCTACCTAAGTGCGGATTAATATAGAGAAAGCAGCGCAAAGAGCCGGTTGGAAATGAGCGAGATCTGATGAGATGGGATACGTACCTATTGACATCACATCCTCATCGCTGATATGGTTGACAAGCTGTTGATTCTTTACGGTATCTGTCGGCGAGGGGACGAAGGCGTAAGGCTAGAGACGCTTCAATATAGAGTGCGTCTCTTGTATTCGAGGTGGAGTCGGCCTTGCCTTGGGTACATGATGGGTGGTCTGTCCGACAACAGGTCCCTTGCTATCGAGTCCAAGATCGAGAGGATAGAAAACTCCATGAGCTACCCGGCATCTGGGATAGCCCACGCCGGGACTTCGGGAGGGGGCCGTGAAGATGTCTGCCACAGAAAGGAAGTCAGCTTTAGGTACAAAAACTCAATCAAAGGGCAGGGGATACGGATCACACTTAGTGTTCGGCAGTATTCATGATGTATCAATCTATTCACCTTTTCTGGACAGATTCCTGAGATAGAAATTCGTTTGGTCAGCTAGTGGCCTCAAGGAGTTGTTATTGGGCCTACCATATAAATAGGCTCCACCGTGTTCTATCGGGGGTAAGAGCCTGTCATGGTTGTCATCGAATGTGTTAAGATCCGAACTGTACACAGACCATTCGAGAAGCTCTATTTTGAGATCATTAGATTGGACATAGGGCCTTTCTCATGGGTCAAATCAAATAACACCTTGGTAGAAACCTTTCTTGCTGCAGGGTATGTATTGGAGGCCTAACGGAGCCCGAGTGATATACGGTGTTAGCATAAGCTTTAACCCAGGGGAGGGCAGTACTCACCTATTCAAGTCTTCGTACTTTAGACCTGGAGGAATATGTTATCGGTGAGGGATAGGTACTCTTGAGCTGATAGCTGGGTGCACTTACAAGTAGTTGACAAAGGAAATGATCAAAGTCAATCTTTGCAGATAATATGTGCGAAGAGAGATATAGGAGGAAAGTCAGACGAGACGGACAGCAGCGTATTTATACCCTTCAGGGCGGAGTTCTTCGTCTTTCGCTTGGATAAAAAGTGGCAAATTGTGAGACTTTCTGATTATTTCTGGGCAAGAGGAAAATTGGCATACAAGCAAGCAGTTTTCTGCGCTAAAAACATGGTTATTCACCAGCAGTGAGCAAACAGGAGTACCAATAATAGGTAGAATGACAAATAGTTGGCAAAGAATCAAGGTTCAGCTAGACTACAAGGCTAGAGGAGCCCCTCCAGCAGAGTAAAATTGCGGCGAACTGAGAAACCGGAGTTCATTCACCAGCGGATTCAGTTGAATCAACAGCGATGAGCAAACATGAGGCGTCTCAAGAATATGCGGAATGACAGATAGTTGTCAAGGAGGAATCGTCGAGGTAGAGTTCTAGTCCCGGTAAGACGAATTGGGGATGTAGAAAACGAGGTCGTAAACTTTATTCACTCGCGAATCAGTTGACTCAACGGGGATGAGCAAACAGGAGCTTGATCAACAATATTTGGAATGGCAGATACCTGTTGAAAAGTGAAATTTGAGGCGAGCACTAGAAAGTCCTCCGTTTGATTACTGACTTGACTACTGTCCTGGCTTTCTCTGACCCATTAACTAGCGGAAAATAAATACTTACAAACAAGATGCATTTGCTCGCCTCGCTTCTACCACCTTTGTATGAGCGGACGAGGTGTGAACACAACACATAATACACGCCCTGGAGGGAACGTGAAAGCTATCATTCATCCTCAAGCATAATGTGAACCGTGGGCAGCCCAAATTGGCAACACCATAACAATGCATGGTCATTAAGTTGAGCCAACACTGGGTACCTTGGATCCACACCGGTGCGGCCTGTGGGTCGAGGTGGAGCCACCATATCCACTCTGGTGCCTCAACGTTGAGTGAACGATAGTGAATGATCAGCGAGGAAAGCCAGAAGCCCTCAGAGAATGATGGTGAATGAGAGATTGCTCAGTTTTGTGCGACCCCCGAAAACTCTCCATATCGTCCTTGGAATCGCTTTCCATTACATTTCGGCCGTCCCAGCAAAAAGCACCGCTCCTCAAGTAGCGGGTGCTGGGCATACACTACTCTACGAAAGACACAAAAGTGCGTCCCGCCAAAAGTTGAGAATTGGGGCCAGTTATTCACTAAATTGATATGCCATGGGATTTTTGATACTAATGCCATTCGCAGAGTATATTGACAATCACCAAGAGCCCAGAGCTCTCTGCAGCCTCTCCGCTGCCAATCTTGGTCACAAAATATCAGCCCTTAGTAGAATATGTGGACACGTGGGACTCTGCACAAGTCCAGTCATGGATGTATGGAGGAATACCCTTGCATAGCAATCATGTAGGCATGCCTTCTCTCAATGTACGGCAAAGACAAAGCCTGTCAAGCCGTGTACCTCAGTACCTCACAATAAGCCGCCAGAACTTGAGCATAGTCAAGCAGAGGTGACATTGAAGCCGCACGCAATTCGACGGGCCTTTCCAAAATAGACCATCCTCCACCGTGGCACTTTCGCACGCGCAGTATAATGCTGAGGACCTTCATTCTGACTCACTTCTCTGAGGTCACCGTACCACTACTGTGAACCATGGGCGAGCCAGCTCTTTGCCCTCCGATTGCAACTGCGCCGATTTTTTGATTCGACCAGCACTTTCTGTGAGTCAACGATACTACTCACCAAGATCGAAATGAACGATCGTGGTGCTGTCTGGCGTGACGTGATTGACGATCCACTATCTGCTTTTTGTAATTGAGTAAGCGGAAATCCCTTTAAAACGATCGGCATTATCGACAAGAATTCTTCGAATGATTGCTAGTGCAGGCACTTTCTTTTCCCACATACTGCTATAACTGACCGCTGGCTACTTCGACTACTCGACTCCTAAGGCGGATGCGTATTATCAAGTGAATCATCCCATTGAAAGCTTCTCCAGAGCCTTATCCCAAAAATGAAGGGTACTATTACCTGGTCATGTGTCTCCTGTCTGGAAAGTGACTATCAGCGATACAATATCATCATATGTCCATACGATCCATTATCGCGTCTAGCCGCCACTTTGTCATTTTTCCTCCCAGCAAAGAGACGAATCAATATCTATACTCTATGCAATCTTTGTAGAGATGAAAGTGGATGTTTCTCGGGCGATGATCAACTACGTGTGGTGCTGAAGAAGAGGGATCAGACCTATTTCAAGTGGAATACTTCATGGGCGCGGTCGCAGTGGGATTACTGGCTTTCTTGTGACGAATGCCAATTGTTGAATGCATCGATGAAGGATAACAGAGTCTATATCCATCTTTTCAAAAATGTATCTATCAATTGATTCCAATACATATCTGCTTTTTTAGAAAGAGGAAGTTGAAAGATAGACTGCTTGAATGTAAGTCAAATACCGATCTAAGTTATGTTAAATCCCGAAGGTTTATTGTTCTTAGAAGTAGTTTATAACATCAATTTGTTTGCAAGTTTGTAAACGCCAAATAAAACATCAGGGATCATTAATTCAGATTGATGGGACTAGATATGTTACAAAGTAACCAACCAGGCATAATCAAACTCTCCAGTGGTTAAATACTCGTAATGCAACCTTGAGAGACTTTGATTTTGTTTTCTTCGTGATTTTGCTTTTTAGAACCTTAGGCATGCAGCCAACGACCAAAGGGAAAAGTAGACGTGCTTTGCGATATACAGGATATCGTTGCCCAAGGGCTTTATCTATAGCTCTCTGCACTTCTTGAATTAAATTCCTCTCATCTATATTATTTTCGATGAGCCAATTTATAAATTGATGCTGACTTCTTCTTTCCAGCCTTTCACGCTGACTTTGTCTTTCCAATGGCGTTCTGCCAAATATCCCTGGGTACTTGACCTTTCATGAAGCAACATTTTCATAATGACCTCAGTCACATTTGCGAATGCTGTGATACTGAAGTCGGCTGGAGGACGGCTCCGAATGTTAAGAATCGATTGATAGGACGTTGTCTGAGGATGATTCGACGGGAAATCGCTCTCTGTGATCATTTCACTCCATGCAATGGATCTTGAACTTTTATCTCTGAATTCAAGAGCAGAATAATTGGAGGCTTTGCCCAATGTCCTTGAATACCATGGCGAGGGGAAATACTTGCAGTAAATAGAGGTTTTAGCGCCATTATATGCCCGAACAACGGGCAAAAAGCTTGTATCTTCAGAGTCCTCAAGGTTCCGCTCTGCGATATTTTGAGGTTGAGTCGCGATTTTTGATCTAAACATAGCAAAAGTCTATACGAGCCTATTTTCTTTGAGACAGCCTTTCAAAATACCGATTTTTTATTGGCACTCTGATACTGGCCTGTGGTGGATGAATTTATCAGATGAGGGGAATATATTGAATAAAAGAGTCGTTTTGAAGTCCAGTAAGTGTTCAGAATCGAGTAGGGCACTACTCTGGCTTTCGAAATGAATGTGAATTTACAAGCCCTTATCAGGGACACATAGAAGATTAATGGATGTTTAGCATAGAAAATTAAATTGGTCGAAAATATTGACAACCCTCAATTTGAGGAGAGTGCTGGATATCTAGGAAAGGGTTACGAGGAATTCTATCCAGACCATGCAAAAAACTGAGGGAATTGGTGATTGCCCAGATTCAGCCTAACTAAATTATTTATTGACTATCGTGAATTTGGTAGAATCCAGAATATCCCCCCACTAAGCTCTGTCGTTTTTGTTGAAACGAGCAAATAACAATCCCCCCCCCCGAAAGTGAATTTGAATCCTCCTACACATGTGTGTACCTTTTTGTGCGACCTTGACAGAATGTTCTCTTCTACTCACGAACAGGATATAAGATAGGTGATCACACATCTCTCGGGTTTTTAATCTACGATGATCTTGATGGATAGCCTAAGGAGCACATATAGCGAGAAGTATGCTGAAACGCTAAAATTAAGCGTTTTTATTTTTTTTACCGAATCTCAGGTTACAAGAAAGGGGTAATGAGACATCTTCCTCGGTTGATAGTAGTGTCTAAGCAATCATTAAGCAATATACATAACGGTGGCTAGTTGGAGGGGACGGTAGTGGCTGAGAAAGATACTAGGTTGACGTGCTTCATGATCAGAATATGCACACCTTCATTTCCTTATAAAGTGCTATGAGCTGGGATTCATCTAACTCAATCGACGATAAAGTCAGTAGTATTACAAGGAAGCCTTAGACTTTCCCTTCTTCCTAGTATTTCGCACAATGTTGAGAATCATCGCAACATGGTGACTCAATGTGATGATGTCCCCATTAGCATCTCGCACAAGAACCTCGAGATCGAACTTTCCATCTTTGATTTGCTTTGACGACACTCTAACAGCCAACCACTCAATTCCTTCGTCCGGAAGAGTCATCTTCACCTCCATATTCATCACGACAGTCGGAAACCACATCTCAGAGCGCCGCTGATCTTTTCCCCGGATTTCCTTCACATCAGAATCGTCAGACCGCTCAGGGGGCGCATTCAGAAGCTCACGCAGTGCCGGGGCCGCCAAGAAAGTGTGTATGTTGTATGGGAATGAATCTACCACGTATGCCAATGTGCTTTGAGTGATGGGTTCACCGCTAGTCAGCCGGATCCACATGTCCAGCACCCCGGGGCTTAACGGTTCTTTGCGAGGGATGTAAAACTGCCAATTGGCCAGTGATGGCATCATAGTCGCGTATAGCTTCGGTAGTTCCGACTTTACCCAAACTTCGTCGGCGCCATTGGTCTTCAAAGCCTCGAAATCAGATACGGATGGGAGTTCAGCAGCTTGCGTTACTTCATAACCTGTGGGCATTGAGATGCCAGGGAATGTGCGTAGATTTGTGTGAGTGGTGTAGGCAAGCACCACCCGTCGTGACACGAATTGATCGACCCATGGCGCTTGAGAAAGGAGGCCAACCTGCCAGAGTGTTAGGTGGAGGGTGGAGATTTGCTGACCAAGCTTGACATCCTCGATTATGAGAATGGCAGACCCAATTGACGCTCGGTTTGGAAACTCGAAATGTGCAGTCAATGTATCGGGCTGGTCACGTGAACCAAGGTGGATCTTCGCTGCTGCGAGCATACATGCAGATGTGTAACCGCCATTGGGGACTAGATTGGTCAAGGTCAGAAGAGTTGCTTAATTATTTGTCCGTCGCAGCGACATGGACAGTGATGCAGAGAGCGAGGACGGCAGAGAAAAGATGGAAGTGACTGATTACCTGTACCGACAGAGAAGGCTTTGCTGAGGTTAACTTGATACGCGTGAGAGCTCAGCTGCTCAATCTTTGTGGCTTCAAAGAAAGAAGGAGGGGCGCTAACGCCTTTGTCCGACGCCATAGCGGGATTCGGCCGAAATGAGTCTTTGAGATTATGAGGTCGAACTAGTTGGAATGGCGAGAAGGGAAAGCTCAGTCAAGGTTGGGATAACGATTTCACGTGCGGTCGGTGTCAATTCTGAGCAAGCTTGGAAAGCAACGGCTTGAGCTATTTATAATGCGCGGTCGGTTTACCCCGGAACGGAGTTCCTCCATGTGATGCGGTGCTCTGCATTTCTATGTTTGCCTTATTCCAAAGGAGCAGGGATGTTGAAACATTGACACAATATTACTACCAAGGTGGTGAAGGTACGGTGACAATCGTCATATTGGATGTTGCATGCGTGATATGATTGGTTGTATTACTCTAGTTTCTGATTGGTCCCCTTATTGGGGCTCTTCGACAGTCGAGTACATCATTAATTGACGAGAATTGGGAGTTACCTGTGGGTGAAATTACCTACGGTGACCAGAATACGGTGGCGCTTGAATGCGTTGCGGAGTAAGTTTGAGTTTTCGCAGAATAAAGTTTCCTTGCATTGCTGACTTATTGATTATATGAAGTCTAGATCATTGAATGAAGTGAGTCGAAGTTTTTGGATGCAAATTTCCCCGCTGATATTTGTACAGTACCATCTACAGCTGTCTGTGAGCTATACCTGAGGATCGGGCTTCTTTGTGTCTATTTTAAGTGATTACGTCGCTGTAGCTTGGGAATCAAATGGATAAAACGCTATGCTGATCATCAGCAGTGACTGTATCAACAGAGGGATTGAAGCTTTGACCGAGAAGGGCAGCAAAATGGTCAATCGACAGTAAAAGTCACAGGCTGCTAGTAATTGACCCATTCCCTTTTTCTGCCGGATGTGGCTGTTGAATCAACAGTGGCATGTAAACACTTATATTATCTTGCTAAAATCGCGGCTCTCGCCTGCGTTAGAACGGTTCCATCAACACTCTCCATCAACTCTCATAGTGAGAGTTGTTGTTAATCAAAGGAAAATTTATTGTTATTGTCATCTAGAGGGAAATATGAGGCTATATATACAACGAGAAGAACAAGTTGATTGGAAATCAACTTGATTCTGTATATAGATATTTCGGCATTAATTCCGATGGGACGGCTTGGTTCCTGATCTGCACCAGCCTTATATCACAACATTCCCCCTCAGAATCGTCCTGCTGGCAGGGCGATACTGGAATTGAGCAGAGCAGTCAGGCCTCGGTAAAACCACTCAAAAAACCTTCGTGGGAAAAGAAAGTGGAAAGAGCACCTGCGCTGTCATGCTTGTTGCCTTAGGTTTTGGATACGTCGATTCCCAAAAGACTACAGAACTTGGCAAAGGACGTTGGCCCTAATGGCTTGGTGAGACCATCCGCGGCCTGCTCCTCAGTGGGAACATACTGCAGGTCAATTTCTCCTGCATTCAGCACCGACCGCTGATAATGGAACTTGACATTGAAGTGTTTGGTCCGTTTGTGAAATTCGGGATTGCGGGAGAGCGCAATAGCGGATTGATTGTCAGCCATGATATTAGTGACCGGAGACCGATACAGATTTGTTTCTCCTAGAAAGGTGCGGAGCCACTGTAGATGTAAAATGGCATTGTATTGGCCAATGTATTCGGCATGAGTCGTGGACGTGGCCACTTCCCCCTGACGTTTGGACGACCAGGAAACCGGCGCTCCCGCCAGTTGGAACACGTAGCCAGACGTGGAGTATGCTCCATCCGTGACGACGGAGCCACCGAAGTCGGCGTCAGTGTATCCGATCAATTGACCATTTCGGTAGGTGATACGGTGAGATTGCGTGGCTTTGATGTAGCGAAGCAGTCGCTGAAGTGCGGCCTGGTGATGCGATTGCGGCCGGGATGTGAAGCGACTCAACATTCCGAGCGCAAACGCAATATCCGGTCGCGTGCCAACCATCAAATACATGAGCGAGCCGATAGCAGTTGCATAGCGAGCTTTTGCTTCTTCATCCGGAGGTTCCTCCTCTGGGCGAGTATTCAGGCTTTGCTTAGGATTCATCGGCGTAGACTTCGGCTGACAACTCTCCATGCCAAAGTCGGAGAGCACCTTCTGGATGTACTGATGTTGGTGAATAGACACGGACCCATCAACGTGATAGTCAAACTCGATCCCGAGGAACGAACGAGGGATGCCCAGATCGTTCAATCGGAACTCGGTTTGTAAGGCTCGTTGTACTTGTTCAATTTCGTGCGTATTTGCCGCAGCAACTAGAAAGTCATCGACATAAACGCAAACGACGCAGTCCGCTTTCCAGAAAACACAGTTGTCCGATTGGGCCATAGTGAAGCCCTGAGAAGCCAGGACGCGGTGGACGCATTGGTACCAAATCCGCGGGGCCTGCTTCAGCCCATACAGTGAACGGCGCAGCCGACACACGTACCCTGGTTCTTCAAAGCCTTCGGGCAACTCCATATAGATAGACGAATCGACGTCTCCATGGAGAAATGCGGTAACCGCATCGAATTGGTGGAGTTTCCATCCGCGCAACACGGCGCTGGCGACGATGCAGCGGACCGAGTCCATGCGCGACACAGCCGCAAACGTTTCGTGATAATCGATGCCATGTTTCTGCCGGTAGCCTTTGATGACCAGTCGCGCTTTGCGCGTTCCGTTGGTTTTGGTCTTGAAGACCCATTTGCACCCAATCACATGATCCCCAGCGGGGATGTCCTCCCGCCGAACCTTTTCCCATGTTCCGTGTTCGAGAAGCGACGCATATTCTTTCTGGATGGCGGCCCACCAGATTAGCTGGTCTGGGCCTGACACAGCTTCGCGGAAGGTTGCCGGGTCGGCTTGTCTGGCCGGTGCAGTATTCAATGCGCCTGCCGAGTACACCTTCCCCAGCGATTCCAGGAGACGCCGTGATGGTCTTCGTCTGCGACCATACATCGAATACCCAAGATCCGATGTCAAGTCGGTTTCCTGTTGGCTTGGATTGATCACTGGAGGTGTCTCATCCTCGCGCTCAGATGGCGGCTTCTCTCGTTCATTCGACCGAGGTAATGGCGACGCAGGAGGTGTTGGCAGCTCGCTGGCTGAACTTGGCATTGGTGGAAAGACAGATGATGGAGGAGCGTTGTCCGGGAGGTCGTTGCCTGTTTCCCCCTCGATGAGTGGCGCCACGGGGGTCCTCTCATCGAACTCGACATCACGGGAGAATATTGTCTTTCCTGAGTGGATTTCGTACAGCTTGTACTGGTTGGGTTCACAATAACCTAGCAGTCGGCACTCGGACGACCTCGGTCCGAGTTTGGCTCGATGCTCTTTTGGGATCAACACCCAGGCACGAGAGCCGATCCGGCGTAGATGCAAGAGCGAGGGCGGCTTCCCATAAATCACTTCATACGGTGTCCTTTTTCGCAGAATTGATGCTGGCGCGCGCAGCTTCAGATAGACTACCGTATCTATAAGTTCGACCCACCAGGAAGGAGGAAGGTTTGCATCGGACAGGAGCGTGTTGATCCGCTCCCGGATAGTGCGGTTCGTTCGTTCGGCCAGCCCATTCTGCCCTTTGCAGTATGGCGGCGAGGTGTCAAACTCAACTCCCTGGCGTTCGAGGTGTGTTCCGACCGGCAGATATTCTCTTCCATTGTCGGTAAGAAATCTTCTAATCTGGGCCCCAAATTGTCGGTGCACCCAGGCCTCAAACTGTCGGAACTTCTGCAGCGCTTCATGTTTCCATCTCATGGCATAGGCCCATGAGCCCCGAGAATAATCGTCAGTAAAGGTGATCACGTACCTGCTGCCATCTTTGGCAATCGGCATCTCCATGATGTCCGAGTGGATCAATTCAAAAATTCTCGTTGAATGCAGACGTGGCCGCCTTGCACGGGAGTTCCTCTTCTGATGCTGCTTACCCGACATGCACGCCGGGCAACGCGGCGTTGCCTGCAGTTGCGCCTGCGTCAGCGGTCGGTACGGAGTGCCGGTCTGCCGGAGGACCACCCTCAAGTCGCCCCGGTTCAGATGTCCCATCCGAGCGTGCCATAGCGCTTCGGAGGCCTGGTCCACTCCTTTGCCCGCATCTGCTTCGAGTATCACAGCTTCACCACCGAGTTCAGAGGTTGGCGATGCGCATCCTACGCCACTTGACTCTTCACGGCTGTCGACGTCCATGGCCACCGCCTGCGGTTCCAGGGAATCTGCATGGCCATAGGTCGTCGGCGCCCTCGCCAGTTGGACTCGTTCTCGAGATCTCTTGCTCACATGGCACCGCAGGATCAACAGATCCTCCTCCGCATGGTAGGCGGTCCCCACCGTTCGTCCTCGGCGTTGCACAAAGACGTTCTGCGGGTGCGCTACCACCGAGTAGCGGTCTCTTAGCAACTTCGGCACACTGATCAGGTTCATCCCGACGCGTGGCGCGAAGTATACGTTCTTGAGCACCAGGGGTTGGTTGAACTTCCCCCGGAGCGTGAGCTTCACCGTCCCAATCCCTTCGGCTTCCACTGGATCGCCCGCCGTGTCCAACATCTCGCGATGGGGCCGCAGACTGCTGAAGCAGCTCCGGTCCCAGCAGATGTGGCTGGTGGCAGCCGAGTCCAGGATCCACCGGGGTGACGGTGCGTGGGTATAGAGAGTCGTCACCCTCGCCCTCACAACATTGATCCGCGGTCTCTTGGAAGTCGGCGGGCCCTGCCGTTCTTCCACCTGGCTTGATGGTATACTTCGCAAATTGCTTCTTGGTGAGCCGGAAACACTCCGTTCGGCCTTCAGGGCATGGTCCCTGGACGGCTGTTCTTCTCGCTGTTTCTTCCAGCACTGCGCGACCACATGGCCGCGCTTCTTGCAGTAGTTACACTTTTTGGTATTCTTCTGCACGGTATTGATTGAAGGGCTATTCGATGCGCCAGACGCTCCATGCGGGAGCGTTGCGGCGTCCTTCCGCTGCACCGTCTGTTCTGCATTTGCCAGACGGTTTCCGATCGTGGTCGGGTTGACTGGATCTTTGTCATTTTGGATCGCATCTACAATCAAGATGTATTCTGG